CTCTCCATTAAGAACAATGTTGGCTCTTGGGTTTTCATAGATACTTTTTACTATGTTGAAGAAATTCCCCTCTAATCCTATTTTGTTGAGTGCTAGTTCATTTATTTTTAATCTTCTTTATTTCAGCAAGCAATATTGTTATCTACATAATTAGTCTTCCTCCAATATTGATGCCACATTCTTCATCATAGTTTAGTTTTAAAAATTGTTTACTCTGGGTACAGACTGAATAAGTATTATTTAATGATAGAACATTAATACATACTTATCCTGATTTTAAATCATAGAGTATGTCCTTGTTTCGTTTGAATGACCACTTTTTGTTCCATATACAGTATACACATAACCAAAATGAAATGTTTTGTTTTTCTCATTCTCCTCAAGGTTATTTAATATTTATTATGACCCACAGAGTCAAATGCCTTTGCATAGCCAACAAAACATAGACATCTTTCTCTGCTTTTAGTGAATACCCATCTGAGGTCAACAGTCTGCAATGATATCCATCATTCCACAGTTTATTTTGATTCCACTTTGAAAATGTATCAGTTCTCTGTAGAGATACAGTTACAATATCTTTTGGAAAATAATGAGCAAGATTTTAGTTGGGTGTGTTAGCAATGATTTTGTTTCTTAGTTTTTAACTGCTTCATTCTATTGCATCACATTCTTGAGTTTAGAATCAATTTGTTCTGGGTCACAAATACCTTGATCAGGTAACTATTTTCCAAATTTCTTGGCCTGGATGAGTGAATATGTCCAGGGTTACATCTATTTGCTAAACCACTTCACTTGATACCCTATCATTTTCTAGAGCCTTGTTTTTTGTTAGTGCCGATACCTGGACTTCGTTGTTCATTGGTTGTTGATCGCTACGTCATGAAGTGTTTCAGTGTTGACCGATTTCTTTTTGGTACAGTAGCTTTGTATTCTTTCCATATTCTTTTTATGCTTTCTGTCTCATTCAAGAAATTAAAAATTAATTTATTCATTGAATATTTTCCCCATATAAACCTTCAGAAATGCAACTGGAAACTCAAATTATTCTTCAGGTTTTTTTCCAGTTTGAGGAATAACAGGTATGTTCTTTTACTTCCCTACCCCCCTCCTAACGCCAGGTCTTTGCTCTTTTCATGATATAATAATGAGTGTTATCTTCTTGTGCTGAGCTTTGAAATCTTCTGTTTAACACTTTTGATCAAACTCTTCTTTTGGCTTCAGCCTTCCTTCATATTAAGGTATATTAAAGAATCTCTTTTGATATCTATTTTGTTTCTTTTCTGTCTTTTAAATGGCTTTTTTCTTTCTTCATGTATGATGTCTTTGATGTCATTCCACATCTTGTTTGATCTTTATAATTATTTTCAATACTTTAAATATATTCTTGAGGTGCTTTTTAAATTCAGATGGGACATGTTCAAGAGGTAATGTCCCTCTTGTGTATTCTTTAAAATTATTTAAGCTTCAATTTGAATTTATACATGAGCAATTGATGTTCTGTATCATAGTCAACCACTACTCTTAATCTTACAGATGATAGTGATCTACTCTACCATATTTTTCCACAGATGTAGTCTATTTGATTCCTGTGTATTCCACTACATGTT